GAAGTGTCCTTGAAATTAAATGACTCGCAATTTTTTATTGCATTTGTGAGCAAGACTGAATTTGAACAAAAGTCTGCCGAAGTTGAAAAATTGTACAATTTATTTTGTTTGGTTTAGGCTTTAATTAAAATCGGCAATTAAACTTGTGTGAGTCTACCTCGTGTTCATATATACATATACATGAATAAAAATCTATAATGAGTAAATAATCACATTATATAATGCAGTGTTCATCTACAACAAATCATTCCACAATGTGCTGGAGGTGACCAAAACGGACTATCATTCCTGCAACTCTGCTTCACCAATCGCCACCCACGCAACAGGTAATGACTCCATCCCCATCAACCGCTACGGCCACCGTTTCTTTATCTGCGGATTTCCCGGCCATTGTGCCGCCGGCCAGAAGCTTGACGTCCGGATCCCCAAACACTCCGCCGCCACTTCTCCGTCTAGCTCCGCTTCTCCATCCGACAGTTCTCCAGTGCCCGGCGGTGCTGGTGGTCCCTTCTCTTCAGGTCCTGGTTTGGCGCCGCATGGGAATGGTGGGGCTCAGAGTGCTCAGAGTGTCACAGGATTTGGCGTAGTGGCGGTGATTGCTGTAGCCATTAGCTGCTTCGACGGTATTTCTCTTGGCTTATTAGTTTTTTAGCTAAGTAGTACGGGTAAGTATGAAGAATGCCTCTTTTTAATGGTTTGAGTGTAATAATGTGCTCTTTTAGACACCTTTTTCGTAAAAATAGGTTAGTAGTGCTTTTATTAGTGGGGGCAACTTGCTATTTATAAATCTTTTACCTTTTTTTATCCATTTTTCAAATTCTCACTTGCATATCAAAATTCATGGTAAAAATTCAACCCATATTTTTCGTTTTTATCAATAGTCTGGTAGTTCAAAAAAAATTACGTGGATGGTTAATTTGTAAATCTTAGTATTTCAGATATTTTGTATGTAATTATTCCTTTATTTGTCCTCTAAGACATATATGAGATTTTTAATTTTCTAAGTAGAAGCAGAGCACTTAAATTTCTCTCATTTGATTATGAAATTCTTAGATAATTTGAAAATGGTAAAAATATTTTTAAATTTTTATAACATAGTTACAAAATAGTTATTATTTTTTTCCACAATAATATGTTATGGTGCTATTTATTTAGGATCAAATCTACTTATTTTTTATTAGTTATATTTGTTGTAATTGACAAATTTTTTTGATATAATTTAGGGTATGTTGGGCAGCTTATCCAGATAAGCTG